TGAGTCCGTCCTATTAATCACACCATGAACACACTTCTTACATTTGAACGTGCCTTCCACCTTTTTCAATGCCCNCCTCACACCGCTACATTTCTTATGCACCCACTTCTGACATCCTATACACAATACCAAGTTAGCCTTCACTCTCCTGTCACATACCCCACAGGGGTCTTTTTTACTTATCACTTGCTCCCCACCTTCCCCACTCACCATTACCTTCGTCTTACCAATATTAACTTTTAACCCTTTCTTTTTAATAACACTTTTCCATCTGTCAAATTTTAACTGCAATTCTTCCATGCTATCAGCCATCAAGACTAAATCATCTGCATACAAAATCTCAAATAACTACTCCTTCATTATGTTTCCACACACAACATCCATCACAATTGCAAACAAAAACGGTGATAACACTGATTCTTGATGCACTCCTACCTTAACACTAAAAGCGTCCGATATCTCCCTTCCGACCCTCACCTTTGTCTTTGCCCCTTCATACAGCTGCATCACAGCTTTAACAAGTCTCTCATTCACTCCTTTCTTCCTCAGCGCCCATTCAATGACCTTCTTCGGTATTCGATCAAAAGCCTTTTCTAGATCCACAAAACACATGTACAATCTTCGTTTCTTCTTTCTATAATTCTCCTGCAACATTCTCACTATGAACAACTCATCCACCGTTCCCCTACCAGGCATAAACCCACACTGCATTTTATTAACTGTCACCATATTTCTCAACCTCCTCTCAAGCACCCTCTCCACTACCTTCATTCCGTGCTCTAGCAATTTCACACCACAATCTCTCACATCTCCTTTGCCCTTATACAACGGCACCAACACACTGTGTCGCCAATCCTCTGGTATACCTTCATCATCAAACATACTGTTAGCAATTCTCATCATAACTTCAATTCCTATCACCCCACTCGCCTTTATATGTTCCGCCGCCACTTCCGAAACCCCTGTCGCCTTACCTAGTTTCATTTCTCTAACTGCTTTCTCTACTTCCTCCATCGTCACCTTCTCTATGGGTCCGTGTGTGACCGCGGATTCCACATCTCTATCCCACTTATTTTCTTCATTCATCAACCTTTCCATATGAGCTTTCCACACCTGAGCTTTTTCCTTCTCATCTATGCACAACTTGCCAGATCCATTCCAAACATATCCATTTCCTATAACATCTTTCCTGCTTTATAACATCCCTCATTGACTGCTTTGCTACTTTGAACATTTTCCTCGAACTCACATCAAATTCCATTTCCCTACCCATTTCCCTCATTAACCTATCTGATGTTTTTGTCATCGCAGTTGCCACTGCCCGTTTTGCAACCTTCTTAGCCTTCCTGTACTCAAACTCCGCTTCCCCCGTCATGTCCCTTCTCCACACTCTAAACCTCTCCTTCTTGACCTCCAAAACCTTTCTTATATCTTCATCCCATCACCACGTCTCATCATGCCTACATTTTCCTTTCGTCCATCCACATACTTTATCTGCCGTAGTCAACACACAGTCCCTATATCTCTCCCAAACATCTCCATCCTTACCACTCTCCCAACTTTCAGCCACTTTCACTTCAAATGCCTTCCTCACCTCTGCATCCTGTAACTTCCATGTCTTTCTCTTAGCCACAAACTTATCCTTCTTCCTCCTCCCCATTTCTTTTGATGCCACATCCATCACAACCATACTATGCTGCAACATACCAGGTATCGCCTTCACATTCCTTACATACTTTCTAGGCTTTGCCCTTATCAATATATAATCTATCATTGTCCTATACTCCCCTGACCTATATGTAATTAGTCGTGCTGGTTCCCTTGTTAACCAGGTATTCCCCACCACCATGCTATGTGCATCCGCCAACTCCAACACTCTACGCCCTTCCTCATTCCGTATACAATACCCCCATCCCCCATGTACACCTTCATATCCGTCTGCATCCGCCCCCACATGACCATTCAAATCACCCAGCAACACCACAAACTCATCCATCCCCGCTTGCCCAATCTCGTTAGAAACATCATCATAAAACCTATCCTTCTCTTCTTTCTTCCTACTTTGTTGCGGAGCATATCCTGATATTACCCTCACTATTACCTCTCCAAACACCATCACCCCCACAATTACACCATTGCTTTTCCGCCTCACTTCCAACACCTTCTCCACCAACTCTTCTCTTACCATTACACCAACTCCTCCCGTACCATCATCCCCCTTCCACCATAACTTATACCTTCCACCTTTAGCCCCCACAAACCTTGTACCCTCTCCCTTCCATCTGATCTCCTGTAATGCAGCCACGTCAACCATTCTCCTCTGCAACTCCTCCACCACTTCCAAACTCCTTCCTGTCAACGTGCCTACATTCCAGGTACCAAACCTCCAACCCCTTGGTCTACAAGTAATCCTTCCATCCATAGTGCCTTGCACCGCAACACTATAGAGTGGGGTGCCAGTAGCCAGACCATCCACAGGGCCTTGCACCGCAACCCCATGGACTGGGTCTCCGGAGATTCTTTGCACCCTCTTCTGCCGGATACTGAGGGCCATTTTCACTTCTGTCATCATGAATAATTTATTTGGCTAATTTTTACGCAGGACGCCCTTCCTTACGCAACGACAGTTATAAGCCTAGCCTTTGATGATCCAACATCACTCACAAGGCAGTGAGGGTCAGTTTAATGTCATAACCAGGACAAACAATAACAATAGAACACCACTAATAAATAGCGGGAATCATTAATGATGGAGGACCACTGTTGATTTCTGTTAGGAAAGATGTTGAAAGAACTTACAAAATTGAATCGACATTTTTTAAATAGCTCTAATAACATCTAAAATTTATTGTTAATTCATCAGACGAAATTGTTTAATCAAAGTTGATGGATAGAATGTTATCTCGGTGGAAAAAGATGAATATTTTCTATTCTGCCTACATGCCATTCTCGCGCCAGACGTTAAATTCATGCATCTCTAAAACATGGTTTGCTGTAAAGCAATTTACCATTGAATTCAAAATCCTAAAGTTAGTTCATAATACTTATTTATCAGTCGGATGCTTAACTAATTAAGTTTTTGACTGGCAAAATAAATAGAAAAAGCAAATTCCAACACTATCTCACACTTTTTCACAATCACAATGAATGTTTAAAATGAAAAATATTTTAAATTATGGGAACATTACTTTCTACAACATACGCGCAATGTGCATACAAACCTAAATGTACGTATATACTATTTATACATTCAAAGACTTGGAACAAATTTGTAAAAATTAGTAAAATTATGAACATTTTTTGACTCAAATAACTCCTATTTTGACTAGCGAGATTGTATGCAAATTGCACATCAACACAGACTGGAACCAGAGAAAATAGTAGCTGGAACTAATTTATTAATGTTTTAATGAATGCGTGCAAGATGTGTTCGGGTCAACAAATCAACATCGTGTTATTCTATTCAGTTTCAACTATCAAATATCTCAACGATGTTACTGTCAAGCAAAATGTTCATCTTGCTGACAACCACTTAGTTAGAGACACGTAAGCATCATCAAGACTTTCAAAATATAATTTGAAATTTTAATGTAATGTAGGATGAAAAAACGTATGGTTGAAAGTTTTACATTCAAATATATTTTTAGTTTTTGCCTGGCACGCAGAGGCGCATGAAAGAAAAACTTTTATACATTCTCATGGTTTCATGCACGGACAATAAGTGAGGATTTGTGGAGTTTGACCGTTCATTTGAACATCCAGAGATAAAGCGATGCAAAAATTGTCAAGTTAAAATCTATACTCTGGGTTGTTGGTGGTACGGGCGTACAATCCATGACAGCTTCTTAGTTCAAGTAATTATTTTATAGAAAAAAATATAGTAAATAAAACTGAAAATCAGGTATTACAGTTCAAATAAACTTATTCATATTTATGCATTTTCCAGTCGTGACGTCATCTCATCAAATGATATCAAAATAGTTGGTAAAAAATATATTGAAATTTTTGTACGAACAAAACACAGCCTCAGTCACTTCCTTGGTTACCTGCTGCTTGTAAACAAATATTTTTGAACTTTTTTAAAATTACCCATTGGACGAAAAATTTTACATTTACGACAACAAAAACTATTTTAATAAGATGAAAGAGAAATTTTTTTAATCGGTTAAAATTTCTATCCGATCATTCTTTACATTTTAATTTAAGTAGATGAATGTCTGAAATAAATGATAATTTGATGTTGGAGGATGATGCCAAGAAGAATGTTGGAGTTGCTTCTGCTACATCTACTCTGCTCATGATGGATGCCGACGAAAGCGCCGACACCACCACACTACCGACTGATGTGTCCACCTCTCACGAGGAAATCACCAGCCAGTTTTCAACTGAACTTCATAACTGTAACAACTCCAAAACTTCTAAAAAATGTTCAAAAATTAATTGTAATTTTAGTAGTAGTAAGATTAGTAAGAATGAATTTTGTAACAACGAACTTCAAAATAACTTTATTATGAAAATGCAAATAAACAATAAAGAGATGCAATTAGAAAAATTTAAAATGGAATATTTGCAAAAGGTATCTATAAATTTCTCAGACCATAATTTTTTGTCATTTATTGAAATAACATACATGTTGACCTGGCAGATCGACGACTTAGAATTAAAGTTTGGAAAGGCCATTAGAGAAAATGAAATGTTAAAGATGCAGTTGAATCTTGAAAGAGATGAGAGTAAAAAAATTAAGAAAGAATTTGAAGCTAAACTTGTTAACATTGAGTCCAAACAATCAAAACTTACTGTTAGTATCAGTTTAATTTTGTAATATTCTAACACATTTATGTCTGCATTGGTTTTTAATACTTTTCAATTTTTTTTTAAATTTTAGACAGTTTCATCTAATGTGCAGAGATTGTTGGCACGGTCATCTCCCTTGCTGACTGAAGATCAATACGAACTGCTGACTAAAAACCCACAGCACGACATATCAATTCTGGATTATATTTCAGTAATTTCTTAACATTTACCAATTTTATTTACCAGTAACTTGTACTTATACAAATTTTTAAGATTCAAAATATTTTTACCTTTGTAATTTAGATAAAAGTTTATGAAAGAGAAAAAGATTATTTAACACAAATTAATAAGTTGAGAATGAAGTTACAGCATAAAAATGAAGACATACACTTGTATAAAATGGCTCAAGAGAGACTTGCAGACGTATAGTTTTTCAATTCATTTGTTGGTTCAATTGAATTTTAAAATACCCATTTCTTTCAATGAAACAACATCAAACTTTTATCGTAAACAAAATGTTTCAGGAGCTTGATAATGAAAAACATTTGCGAGTAGAATGTGAAATGAAGTTGGACAGGTCAAAAAAATTAAATGAAGAACTCAAGACCAAAATTGAGCATGACAATTTTAAAATCGACAATTACAATAAATTATTCAGGTTTGCCCAACTTAGACATGTTCAATTATAATTTCATTTTCATAACTAATTGATTTTTAATGTTTGCAAATCGTATATCAGTCAGTCCCTTGATAAATTTATGTGAAACATACACAGGGAAAAAGAGCAGTTTGAGTTGAAATTTTTAGAAACTTCTAAACAACTGGATGCTTTGTTAGCCAATCAGACTAGACAATCACAGAGCATGGAAGAAAACGTGAATGAGGTTAGTCTTTTTATTACCTTTTATATTTCTTGGTTTTACACCACGAATTACTTCTTTAAATGAAGTTTATTTTTCTAGTGTTGAATTTTTTACATTGTTTTTACAATCCTTTATACAAACACCTAGGAGTTTATTCATTCAAATTGGTTATCACCTCATAATTGACTTCATTGTGAAAATTGTTGGCCATCAGTTGATGACCATGAAGCAGACAGTCTCGTTGTTGATGCAAGACAAGGAGTACTTCTCAAAAATGACCGCAGAACTGCAATCCAAGCTCTCATTTACTGAAGACAAATTACATCAAACTGAAATGCAGGTACATCCTTCCACTCTTTTGTCTGAAATTTATATCAATATTTTTTTATTGTGAGTATACTTTTATATTTCTATTTAATTTTTAATGAATAAACTTTGTTGTTCCTAATAAATATCATAGGTGGATAGGATGAAGCAAGCAAGAGAAGAATTGTACGAAAAATACATTAATGCGAGGTGTTAAACCATAATGTTTATAATATTTTTATTGTAATATTTTTATTTTAAACATTTTTATGATTGGTGTGAAGTGATTTCTATAGCACTATGTTTAAAGATTAAAGATTTTCTTGACATGATTGACAGATTTACTCAGGTATAACACCGCAAGCCTAGATTCTTTTTCGTCTTCAATTTATTTCTGCTTTTGAGCATGATAGCGTGCAAAAATTAAATTTTGGTTAATGCTAGACAGAATTTTGAAACGAAAATACAATTTGATACAATTTGATGCATCTGTGATTAACAATGAATATGAATTCGATATTTTCACAGCTGCATAAATGTAAACATTGATTGATCTGCAAATTTTTTGTTTAAATGAGTAATTTTTTCTTTTATGAAGAGATCAATACAGGAATGAATACGATGATAAACTGAAGCAGGAACTGGAACAGATGAGGGTGCAGATGGACGAAGATATTTCTAGACTGAAAACGAACACCAAAGATATTTCTGAGAGAGAAATCAGGTTTGTTTGTATTTTCAATTACTTTCGTTTTGTTTTTAAAATGAAGCTTCGATCTATTTTAGAAAGATGTATTTTTAAAATTTCATTTCACCAATTAGATGAATTAACTGATTTGCAGAAGTTTAAGAGAAGCCAGGGATATGGCCTTGAATGAAAAAAATTTGGCGCTGATGTCACAAAAAGAAGCAATGAACAAATATGAACAACTTTTATTGGAGTTTGTATTGTATATTTGGTTTCATTTTCATTTGCTTATTGACAATTTGAGTGTAAGAGCCACGAAACAACTGAATTTAGCTGCAAATCAAGAATAGATTGAAAGAAATTATGAATAAGTGTGCACTCGATCGTAAAGCGTTATGCATCGATGTTCTGCTGGGCTCCATGTGGAGGTCATGCACAGAGGCAACGGTTGCCGCGTTTGAAAAACGCGTAAATCGGTGTTAAATGACAAAATTTACTGAAAATAAAGGCAGCCCAGAGGAACAGAGAGTTGTAGGGTTAGGGCTGGCCATCACGAATAGGACTGGCACTGCATGCCGACACAAAAGAACAACGGTGATATGACTTGGTCCCTCGCACCATCGTTGCAATCCAGAACTAATGAGACATAGACGACTAACATCTACCAATTATAAAATGTTGCATATATATATATATATATATATATATATATATATATATATATATTTCTTTTTTGGATTAGTTGAAATAAATTGAATTGAACTTATATATACCAACTAATTATTTAGTTCTGACACTTTTAATCCAATATATTTATCTATTAAAGTGTCTGTATTTATTTATATATTTTGATATTCATTCATTCAAATTGAATAAAAGTACAATTAATGAAAACACTTTTAAGATCCAGACAGCGTCAGTTGTCAGAAAGCACGAGAATAGATGAGATGCAGAGTGTCTTAAAGACGAAATCTTTTGAGCTCGAGCGCATGCACATGTTGCATGAAGAGGCGCACAATTCATACAAAATTTCTCAACAATCCTATGAAAAGTTACAGAAGAAGATGGATGTTAGATGACCTGCCTTTGACGTTACTCCTTGCTTGCTTTCTATCTTCATTATCTTTCTATTTTTGGAAGCGCTTTTTATGAAAATGGTTGTTTCAATACGAAGGATTAACCGACAATATTTAATTGGCAGATATTAACGCGGGAGTACTACAACATGCAGATGACTTTTGAACGCAAAACCAACGATCTGGAAAATCAACTGAAAGAAAAAGTGAAAATGTTGCAAACATACGAACAACTGGAGGATGAAGTTGATCAACTGGTGCTGCAAGCCGCCGAGTGTAAGTAGAAACTTTTATTCTATCTTTATTCTTGATTAAAACTGGTTACATGCAGTTACATACATCTTTCATGATTGAGGCGACTGAAATTTTATTTCCTCTAACAAATTTATCAACTACATTACAACTTTCTCAACTTCAACATATTTTAACCTCCACTTGCAAACATTTCTTCTTCACTTACCAGTTTTCATTTTTCATAAAGTTTTTGTAAACTTTTCTTGAAATTTTTTTTTAGATTATTTTATACTATCCAACATTATTTTATTTTTGACAAGTTCATCAGCTGTTTTCGTAATATTCTAATGACTTCTTATGATTTTATCGTTCCAGTGACAAATGATGAAGAGAGTACTAAACTAGTCTCGAAGTTCAGCCAGTCAGTTCGTTTACCATTGACAACAGAACGTAGAATCATTCAGTGGTTTGTTCATTCGCATGCTTTTTTGTCATTCCATTTTATTCACCTCTTCAATTTCACCTCTCTTTTAATTTTTCCCAATCAAATTGTCCAGGAACACTTTTTTTTACTTATTCAATTTTTATTAATTCCAACGTTCTCACGTATCTTCTTAACTGATTTACCATTTATTGAATTCGTTCATTTGAAGGTCTTCTTGATCTTAAATTCAAACACTTGAACGAAATTGTTAATTTCACGTTTTATTCATAGTTTTTAATTCTTTAGTCTCTCATTTTTTAACAAATTTCATTTTTCTGGATATGCTGACAAACTTTCTTTATTGAATTTACTTCTATTATGGAATTATTTAAAAAATACTTTGATGTATATTTTATTTGCGTTGTTTTTGAAATGAATGCATTTTGCATTTAAAGTTTTTAATTAGATTTCACAAGATTCTTTTCAACAATTCAATTTCAAAAATAAACAAAATTGATGGATTTGATGCGACGATGATATTTTCATGATGCCCTTGTTAACCTGCAGTGTCTCCTTGGCTAAAAAAGTTATTGAGTTTGAAAAATTGAACACCCAGTTAAGGTCGTTGTTGGAAAAAGAGACTGCTCGAGCCAACCAACTCTCACATGAGGTTTTTTTGTGTTGAAATGTTTATTGGAGCTTGAAAAAGGTTTGTATAGATATGTTATATGAAATCAGGAAGTTGGTATGTTAAGTGATGAAACTTCTGTCGATTTGATTTGCTCATCTAAGTTCAGTTAGATCATTTCATTACATAAAAATTGTAACATGCAGTTGAGCCATCTGGAGATATTGAAACATGATGTCCAACAACCACATTCATTTCTTATGCAAAAGGTCCAAGAGCGAGATCAGCAAATCAACCATCTGAAAGATGAAGTTGCTTCAGCGAATAAAACTATTGAGTTTGTTCATTTCTATTTCATTCAGTTGATGTTCAGTTACTTGAAGTTCTAAATTCACTTGCAATTATAACTACGTGAAGATTTCAAATTTTCTGTTAAAAAGAACTATTCAATTCTATTCATTTATTGCATTATCTGACAGCAACTTTTTTATATTTTAAATGTTCGTTAGCTTTTATCTTTTGTCTGCAATCATTAGAACAAGGTAAAAATTAATCTGTTTGAGCATTTCGATCAGAGTTGATAGTACTGTTAGGGCTACTCTATTAAAAGGTTGTGATTGTTGTAGAAGAAAAAATTTTTCCCGTCGCTGCACTTTACCGAAAATCGGTTCGCTATTTATTTTTTCATAAAAACATTAAGAATTTTTTGGAGTTTTAAGTCGGTTTTACATGGATGGAATTATTTATCGTCTTTTGACAAAAATCCCATTTGTAGTAGGCCATGCATTTTTTATAATTTATGTCTATCAGGTTCCTCAAAAAAAGTTATGCCTTTAAGACTGAAATACAATTATTAAAATTTAATTTACTTTGGTAAAATTTGTCTATTTAATCACTTTTTATGCATTGAAAACTAGTCGGAAACTCCAACCAACATTAGATTCCGATTTTTGGTTTAGCACCAAGTAAAATGAAGCAGTTAAAAATTGCATTGCATTATAGATTTGTAAAGCGCCTCTATTGAGCTATCTTCAGAGGCGCTAATTGTGCTTCGTTTTGTTGAAAAAATGATGTTTCAAGCCGCCACTAAATGCGTCATGACTGATGTCAAAGTTCACTTTTTCATCGGTTGTGAGGTATTAACTAATTAATTTGTTGACCGGATCTGAGCTGGAATTCAAGTTTATTTAAAAGTAATAAAAAGGTTATTGACTACGGAAAAAATGATTTTTTTTATAGTAAGTTTAACAGCATCTTTCTAATGTTCAACTTTTGTAATTTTCTGCTTAGAAACAATATTTATTATTTTTAATTTATAATGTGTATTTTGAAATTATTAATCTAGGAATCTACAAAAAGAAATATCAGTTCTCAAATTAACCAAGGAGCAAATGGCAAGTGACCTCGAAAAGCTGCTCAGTCAAGAAGAAGTTGTTAATTCATTTTATTTATAACTATACATTCGATTTTAAAAAATTCAATAACATGAACTGCGCAGGAACTTGCTAAAATGAAAAGTCTCATATCAGATCTGACCAAGAAATCAACGGAAAACATTCGATCGACATCAAAACAATCCCAGTCTAAGTCAGCCTTAAGGATTCACTTTGATGAGCCTGAAAAAGATAAAACTTCATTCAAGCACTATCAGGATAAGGTTAATGTTTGTTTGTTTCGTTTAGCGCAATCAATCAATTTTGTTTCTAAACCGCCATTTCCGCGATTTTCAACAGCCGCTCCTTAACGAATTTAATAAACAGATGAATCCTAAGTCGTAAGGGATAGAGTTAGTTATAGAAGAAGGTAGAAAGCAGGTTTAGCGTAAGAGTATTTAATATGAGCTAAGAAAAGGTAGGAACGAGAAAACGATCGTAAATCGGGCGTTTAGGTTTATTAAATATATCTCGTAACTAGGTACTTATGAAATAATTTAGACTGAGACTTGAATCTTAATATGCAATTTTAAGTCATTCGATATTTTATACGTAGCCAGTGTAAGATAATGAGATATGGCAACTCTATTTATTGAGAGGCTTGATATTATGATCGCTGCTTAACAGCTCCATTCCTCATTTGAATAGAAATTAATTGTTCAACAATCAATCAATCGATCAATTTATCAATTATTTTGTAAAGCGCTATTTCCGCGATGTTCAACAGCGCTTTACAGTGAATTTTGCAAACAGATGGGTCTTGAGATACCGCTCTAAAAGCTTTACTTAAAGCTTTACTTAGAATAAAAAAAAACCATAGTAGAGCGAGTTATAATAATCAATCTTAGATAAAAATAAAGAAGCAATAAGAAGGAGAAAAGTAGGATCGTCAAGAAAAGGCGAGTTTTTTTTATTTTACTTAGATGAAAGTAAGAACTTCTAGCAACACTATCTGAGAAGAAAGACACATGCCAAAATCAAAGATAAAGCCTAGACTACGATCATCAAAACAACAATGAGCCCAACTTAGAATTTTCGACTTTGTGCGTGCTTGCGTGTTATCATTTCATTATCACTATGATTGTTTATATAAAGTTTTTAGTATTTTATGACTTGTCTTATCACTTCTTATTGCACTAATTTTAAAAGATTCAAAAGCGCTCTCCTTAACTGCTAATTTCATCGCTGATACAAACACATTTTGCACGATACAAAGGTTAAAAATTTTAGATTGCGTCGTGTTCCATTTTAACTTGTTCAACGTTTCTTGCATTTTGACGACTCTCGTAGTGCAGTACAAAGTGCAATACCAAACTAACTGAGGTACACGTGATGTGATAGCTAATCAACGTGGCGCCTCTATATTACAATTCTTCTTTCGAAATAACATCTGACTTTCTTGAATATTTTAAAATATTAACGAAGAATTAAAAAAAACTTAAATTTATTAAATTTTACAATTTTGAAAATTACAAAAAGTGGAATATTTACATTTACCAACACATGTTTAAGTACAAAATTGAATAACTATGAACGACGTATAATGTGTGTTAATGCCTATCAGTATGTGTTCAGTTCATGCACATGTGTACGTGCTGTGTGCGTGTAATGTAAAGATGATTATTTTTTTTCAAAAAATATTTCCTATAAAGTTTATATGAAGTGTTGAAGAATGTAATTTGCGTAGGTTTTTAGTGTTGAATTCCATTGATCATATAAAGTTTTTAGTATTTTATGACTTGAGCAGATATTAGCTGATATAATAAACGGTTATATACTTCAACGCCGACTTAATGCAATGCACTTTTTAACCAATTTGATGAAACATTGTAAACTGAATAATTACTTTTTTGTTTCAGGAGAATTACAAACTAAATGATGTAAAAAAATCTCAACGGTGAGATATCAACATTTTGAAGGAAGGCTGACGTTAACGGAAGGTGCTACCAAGTGGTTATCGTTCAAAGAGTTAAAATTTGCTAAAATGATCTCTCTACATTGAATTGGAACTTATAATAAATGCCAATATTTTTTCGGAATAAATCAATGTATATTGTCCTAATTATTAGTTAGTTTAATGTCAAATGGTCAAAATGATTTGTAGATTGCATGCCAAGCCAAGAATTGAATTAAATATTAATCGTGCCAATAATTTTCTATTTTAATGTTAATAAATTAACTAAAAAATATTTTTTATCCAATCTGTAACAATTTCAATATTTTGACTTAGTTTTGATAGAAATAATAGCACGATCGAACTTAACTGTAGTTTAGTATTTGTCAACTTAATTTTTTTTTGTTAACTTTAACGGCATTTCAGCTCCCACAATGGTGCTATGATGTGCCTTGTTGACATAACTTAATTTCAAATACTAATTAAACTGAAATTCATGAAATTCAAGTTAACTTAATTTCAAATAATTGTTCCTTTAACGACAAACATTTTCTGATGGAGAAATTATTATACATATACGATCAAGACCCCCAAGACGATCAAGAACTTTTTGACTAAGCATTTTTAAGTTATAGTTTTCTCAAGCAACCGAAAGATGAAATAAAATTGAAAAAATTGAAAGCAAAACCCACTTCATCAGGTTGCAATGAAAAGATTCAGAGCTGAATGGAAAAACTTTAACCGTTGACGAACGGTATTCACGGTCTCAACAGAAGAGTACGTGCCAAAACAGATTGATCGAAACTTTTATATTCATGAGAGCGAACAAGTCAAAAGATTTAAAAGAACCGTGCATATGGGTTATTACAAACTTAATGGTGAGGCTGTCCGCAAATCGTTCCTTCAAGTATTGTGTGCTAACTCAAGCCAACAACGTTTTTTCGTCCCGTCAAAAATAATTTAAATTGAAATCCTTGGCCCATTTTCATTAAAAACTAATACTTTGAGTAAAGAATTAACACAAAAATATCGACATGTTAAATAAACGGCTTTATCAGAATCTCATCAATGAGCTAGTAATATTTTTAAAGTACAAACACGTTTCTTAGCTGAACTTTAACCGTATGGGTGGTAAATAAATCACTTTTTCGATACAAATTTGCATTTATACTGTCGTAACTAAAAACGATTTAAAATCTGTAACTCATCTGAACAATATTTTAAAAAACAATGCATAAATTATCAAAAGTGAGGAAAACATTAATAAAACAACACAAATGTAATAAAATGTTAACGAAGGCATCTAAAAATTATCAAAAATATCTTTTATTACACACTAAAACTATTACACACAACTGAGGGTTGATTCCTAATTGGGTAATCAATTATATTAATTTAATATGTGGCTACCTGAGATTATAGAAGTCATATATACATCAAAATTAGTTCAAGATGAACCACCAACGTTTGCTGTGTGCCAATCACCAACCAATATATGCAAAATTCAATTTAAATAAAAAAGTACTTAGTTTAGAGCTTTAAAATAAAAAAATAATTGAAAAATGGACCTAGAATAATTTCATAACGTCTTTAAGAACTGTTAAATTATAAATTGTTAACAACTTTATTAAATAGCTACATTTTATTCAGTTCGCTGATGGAAGCAAAATGTTTCTAAAATGTCAACTGCATACATGCATATACATACAGAAGTCCACAAAAATATATATTCAATAGCGCATACGTACTATATATTGATATATACAAGACTTTTACATATAACGAAAAAAGGATAATGAATTTTAAGACCTTTTTCTCAAATTTCTAGTTTTTGTGGGTAAGCCATCATAATCATTGGAATCGCTATCCCCATCACCAGTATAATGTATTTTTCTCCTTTTCACATTATTTCCATTGCTTAAACCGTTTACTTGCTGACTGTCTTTATTTTTGCCATTAATTACAATGGAGCATGATTTCGTTGACAGAGACAATGGTGATTGTTTCAATTGTTTTTCAAAATAATCACTAAGTTTTTGACTGGCTTTGTAGAAGAAGGAAGAAACCGCGTTGTATTCCTGGCAGTTTCTAAAAATTAATCTGACGTCGTCAATTAGTTGGCCGTGGTGACCATACTTGAATGAATTTATTTTGTTTCGAATTGTAGAAAAGTCCATGGGCGATTTGATGATGTCCAGGTAGTCAAAGGCCTGAGGAGAAATATTTGTACATTTTATGAGACACTAAAACCTGACCGTGACCCACAAATAATTATAATGAAGAGTATTAATATTGTAAGAACTAAAACTGATGCTTCAGTTGAAAAAAATAAACCCATACTTTAACATTTGGTTTAGTATTGGATTCCTAAAAAACAAATTTATTAAAATGTAAAAGAACAACCACCAACATCTTTTTTGGAAACTGGTTTGAGAAATGGCCAGGCATCTTCTTGGTTCATCAATTGAGAAACCAAGTCCTCACAAAACTTCATCGGGTCACAGTTATATGATGATGATGATGATGATGGCGATGAATGTCTTGTAATAGACTCCCTAGCAATAACATACGAGTTTCTTTTTTTAAGACAAGGACTATCTGAAAATTGAAAACATTGACAATGAATTGTCAAAATTTAAAAACTGAGCTAGAATTTCAAGCATTCTTGATGCACATTACTTTATAGTTGGAGTAAATATCTTTTGGAAACATATGCAAAATATGAATTGATGTTAAAAATATTAAACAAACCTGGATGAGCATCAAAAACATTTTTTCGCTTCGTCCCTCTTCTCTCTTGCCGAATACATTCCTTCAGTTGGATTCGTTTGTTCATTGGACCATCTTTTTCAGAGAAGTCACCCTCATCATCATCTTCTTCCTCCTCTTCATCTTCAACATAATTCTGGCGTGTCGTGCGAGTCCTTCTACCAACATCTATCACCGATGTCGATGAATACTTTTTCATTTTCAATTTCTTGTCAGGACACTTGTTTAAGCTTAATCTTTTGTTTTTTCTTAAATTCAAATGTGAGTTAAAGTTCTTTGGAATAGTTTTATGATTCTTGGAATTTTCAATGCTGGACTTTTTGAAATTCTTTTTTCCATAGAAATCTTGGAAATAAACAAATATGGTCAAACATTTTATATAGAATAAAGCTCAAAATCTAAAAAAAAAACTAATACAAATAAGCGTTTGTGAAAACTAGGTAAAATAATGAAATAATACATTTTTTTGATATTTCCAATTTTTCTGTCCTTCTACAGTCCTCATCTGTTTTATCGTCCTCACCCTCATCATCATCGTTGTCTTCCACTTTACTTTCGTTTGATCCAGACCTGGAAGACATGTCATATTATAGATATACATTACTAAATAGGCAATAAAGGTTGTTGACCCAACAGAAATATTATAACAATAAAATGGTTGGTCTTTTTGAACTGAATCAATGCTTATACATTAAACTTAGATACATTAATTATAGATCATAATTCATTGTAGAAAGAAAAAATGATAAAAAATACTCAAAAGCAATTCTAACACTATTGAATCTGCTTCATCATCCCTTTTAACCTCTTCCGATTCATCATCACTCACGCCCCTTTCCTCATCTTCATTTTCTTCATCTTCATCTTGAGCCAACTTTTTTCGAGGAGTTTCAACTGCTGGAAGAGGTCGACACCAAGGGCAAAACCAATCCCCTTCAGGTATTACCTTTAAAATAAAACAAAAAATTTGATAACCATTATTCATTTAAACTTTCAACAGTCGCTGCATAAATTTGAATTTAATAGTGCTAACATTTAATTTATGTGGTTCATCTCACAATAAAAGTTAAGTGAATGAACCAGACCAAAAATTTTTTGCTAAGTCAAATAATTCATTCCTAATTCATTTCTACCCCACACTTTTATGGCTACTAATTTCTCAGAAGATAGGCAGTAAAAACAAAAATGAGAAAACTTTATTAACAAAAATATGAAACCTTGACAGGGGGTTTCAGACAGTAGGTATGGTGCCCCTTGTCGCATTCGTCACACAGCATCATCTGCTCTCCATCACCTGCACACAAATTATAATAACATCAACTCCTAAACAAAACTGTAGTTAACATCAACAACAGCGTTTATAATTTTGTATAATCACTACTGAAATGTAAAAGTTAAATATAAAATGTTCAAACAGTTGTAAATACAAATTTTCAAAAGCAAAAAAATGAATTAAAATAAGACTGAGACAAACGAACGCACCTTTTTTCCTACATATTCTACAACGAGCATTCAATGCTGACTTGGACCATGTGACACTCGATTCAAGAACGTGCATCAGCAGGTACAACTGCGACATGTTCCGCGATGACTTCAAGCTGGCCTTCCACGTGTGCAACTCCTCACTGCGATGATGCTGACCATGCTGGGAAGCAGTGGACGACGCATCTGCAATGCAAATATCGTCATTCATATTTAAGTACAATGCTTTATTTACAACACATATGACACATAGAAATTATTTTTAATTAGCACAAAATCATGTCCACGAAATCTAACCATCATCGCTTTCCACTGGCTCTGTCTCTTTTTTCTTCTTGCTTTGTTTACTCTTTGATTTCTTGTTTTGTTGACCTGAACAACAGAATGTGTCACTACAATGAACAACTTACTAAATATAAATAATAAGGATATTATATACCTAAATGAACATCTATGAATCGAGTTTCAATCATCTTTTCAATCTGCAACAAAGCTGACATCAGACCCTTCAGTTCTTTGGACTGATCCAGTTCCTTTATATCACTAAATTTCAATATTTTAATTAATATTTTGAAGATAAGTCTAATGAGAAACATTGAAAGAGGGGACAAACACAAAACCTACCAAGCGTTATCTTCATCTTCATCATTGACACCAGATGGCATGTTTGAAATGGCTTCGTAGTTACCATCTTCTAAATACTGCCTCCACTCATTTCTATCTATACCCTACCACAATTAGTTTGTTGAATGTCAACCCAATTTCATTAAATTAGTTATTAATAAAATTAATCACAGATAAATTAACACATACACACACACACGCGCACACATATACACACAAATATAGATATATACCTTTAAGACCTCATAAAGAAACCAACCTTAAGTTTACCCAAAGCTCCAGCATAGAGCCTATCCTCTAGATCAACCAAACTTTCTTTCAGGTGACATTCAATATCATCATTAGCTGCTTCTTCTTTCTTATCAGTTGCACTGATTAACATGTTCCCATCATCTTTCAAGATTTCTTGTATGTGGTTAGTGATCAAAGAACTTTTTGTTGAACCATTCTGTGGAATCTGCTTCAACTGTCCAAATTTAAGGAGGAACTCATAGGTGGGTTTTAAATATTCCAATCCTTCAATAATTGGCGATTTGTGTTCTTTTAAGGAATTCAGCAACTTAGATTCTCTGAACCCTCTTTGATTCAAAGAATTCATTAGAATGTTTATTTGTTCAGTGCTGTTGTATATTGACCATCTGACCAGACCCTTTGTTGCAATTTGTTCGTGCACAGACGTCAGTGGACTGATGGTGGTGAATATTGATTAAAATGCAGTTCATAAAATGGGCAATTGAAATTGTATACACTTGAAAAAACCAATAATTGAGAACATTATTAATCCAATCAATTACAAATAAAAAATAAGTATTATAAACAATTAGCAGAAATATTACAGGACACTAGCAAATTAAATGCTGAGATAGTGAGAGGAAAATTTCATGACAATTATTTACAAGAAGAGTGCATGTAAAATGCAATTAATATTCGTCCTAAGAACATACAGACCACTTGAATGGTTGAGACTCAGCATGATCTTCCAGAGGAACATTCTCTTTATCACTTCTCTCTCCTTCTTCTGACTTGCTGTCATTGTTGCTCGCATTCGTTTTCGTCAGCGTGGCTGTCGACAACGATGATGGCGATGTTGTCGTTGTCGATGATGATGATGGTAGTGGTGTCGTTCTCTTCGCTTGGTTAATTACTTTGAGCTTTGTTGGAGAGGAAATGGATCCTTGAAAACAAATTTATTAGCGTTTAATGTATAAAACGGTGGCAGAGAAAAAAAACGTTTAAGAAGTTAAAAAAATTACAGGTGCAAAAATGAATTCTTAATCTGTTATCACCACCTTTTAATGGCTATTGATTATACATAGATGAAAATGAAAAAAAAAACTAAATAATTGAAGCCATAGATTATATACTTGAGAGACAAAAAGAGACATCTGACTCATCCTCCACCAGTATTCCTGCAATGCAAGTCATCATCCAGTACCTTCTGTGCGTCCTGTCAAACCCAAGTACTGCTGGTGACCCAACTTGCAATCTCCTCAACTCATCCATCAACTCCTTTTCTTTCCTTTGCTCCCAGTCCCTCATTTGACTCTTTTCCGTTTCACTAATTTTAGACCAATCAAGATTTTCTGTTGGAAGATTATCAAAATTTTCGTCTGGAATGACATTTGCATTTGCTGATCGGGCAGACTTTCTAACCAATGAATCAGTTCTGTTTCAAGTAATTAAACAATAAGCAGAATAAAATAATGACAAGATACAAATTAATTAAAACAAGAAAATCCTGTAGATAAACGAACCAAAAAGTAAGTATTTAATTACAATGTTCAATCAGGATTTGGTCCATAGAAATAAATAACCTTTTTGGTTGAAATATTGAATTTTAGAACTAACTTGTCTGAATTTGGCTCATCCCCCTTGCTATCATTCTGCTTGCCATCTTTCAAGAAGCCCTTCATACATTCTTCTTGTTTCTTTTTGGCCCTTTAAAAAAAATCACGTAAACAGTCAGAGACAAGGCATTTGTGAACACATGCACATGATCAATCAAAAGCATCTCCTCATCAAATGAAGCCAACTAACCAAAAGGAACTTTCATCTTTGGATCTCTTCATGCAGTTGAACTGATGCATCTTCAAATTCTTTTGAGTGATCTTGATTGCCTCCTGCCTATCTTCAATCTCGGTTCTAACTTTGCTCGTGTTCAACAACTGGTGACTCACTTGAATCAATACTTCCAATTTGTCATCTACAATCGCCATTTAAGACAATTTTGATAACTTTGAAATAATTTGAAGTGACTATGAAACAACGAATTAAATATCAACCTGGTGAAAGTTCGAACAGAGTTTGCTTGTTCATGTGCTGTACAAATCTTGAATTGGTAGTTGAATATGCTGTACCGGATGATGCAGTAAAGTACAATCTCACAATTTCAGATATGGAATATACATCAAGTGGCAGATCCTGTATGATGCAGCCTAAAATTGAAACCATTTAAAAATAATTTGAATGTTTGCAGCTGTGAGCAGCACATCAAACATACAAAAGAGCCACACAGATGAGGCTTACCATAAATATTGAGAGAATGTTTGGCTGCCTTAAAAATTTGACAATGTTCACCACTTTCATCTATTTCAGCTGTTAGAATTTCAGAAGTTGTTAAAAATATTAATAATGTATATACTCTATACATGTAGATATGAAAATAAAATATTTCTAAACCTCAAAAAAATAAAATTGACCAACGAATATTTAACAAAAATAAAAATGAACGAACCAGATTTCTTTTCTTCAAGTACTTTGGCAGTGATTTCCTCCTTATGTATGGTGAAGAGAGCTGACATAAGAGACACAACCAACCTGCCAAACCAACCGTCAACATCTTTACTGTTCAGACAATCGCAAAACTTTTCTGCAATGGTGTTAATCAAGTTATAAATTTTCAAGGTACTTTGTATTAATTAATAATAAGCATATAGAGTTGGTCACTCGTGTTAATAAAACATATTTGTTGCTTAAAAAGATGAATTGAAACAATATTATACAGATGTGTCGCAACTAATGAAAATTTTTAGTTTGGTTGGACTGAAACATTTCAGCTAATGTTTATGGCAGAGGTTTTAAGTCTGCATTTCTATCACATAAATTTATTTAACATAGGCCCTTACAAATAAAACAGACTTTAGATTGTCTCTTATCATTTGTTAGCTCTGTATGATAACATCATCAACGTTTTATTATTCAAATTCAATTATCTCATAATATAACTGCAAGTTTGATTGATTAATTGATGATTGATTAATAAATGAGTGAATGAATGAACAAACGAACGAACGAAAGTACGAACGAATGGATGAATGAGTGCCATAAACAATCATGATAATGTATTTACTTATTTAAAATGTAATATAACCAACCTAAGGAGAATGTCTTGTTGATATCCAGATTGAGTATCTCTTGGAAAGATTTGATGAACTCCATGACATACAAGACATCACCCAGGTCTTTTGTGAGGAACATATTCATTGGAAGAGGAGTGGATGTGGGTAGATCCTGCAACAAATCACATCAATCGTTTCAATAACTCATGAAAATTGTTCAATAATTTTTTTTACTTGTATTTTAATTTTTTAGAAACAGTTGAAATTCATTGGTTTCCCATAAGCCTAACATGCAATTTTAGGAGTAGTTGAAATCTTTTTGAAATATAAAGTCATATTGGAATTTAGTGAGAGTGTGGCAAAGAAATTATTACCAATTCGATAACAATCAAAATGCAAAACTTGTAAAGCAAATGATTGAAAAATAAAAACGTCTGCTCTCTGAATAACTAATTATTTAACTGGAGTATTCAAATTATAAAAAATGATCCATTGATGTTTCAAATACACATTTGACATTTACTGAAATTTTCTTATATCACACAAGAATATTGAATTTAAGTTATGTTTTCTTATCATGGAAATATAATTATTCAGATTTTGGCCGCCAATAATGCAAATTAAATTTAAGCACAACAGCCTAGTTGTCTATGAAAACGTTTCCAGCAAAGAAGTGTTAACCTTTAAATCATCACACTCCAAATCATCTCTGGCTTTGTTCCACTCCATCCTGTATTGCATTTCTGTTACTTTATTATCTCTTTCTTTCTTCTTTTCCTGTTAATAATTTATTAAAATATAAAAAAAAATTAAAAAAAAACAACTTCAAGCAGTCATATAATTGATAGGAAGAAAAAATCTAGACCAAAATAATAAATTAGTAAAAGCAGGAACAAACAAACCTCCATCTTTTTGTCCTTTTCTTTATCTTTCTCGACTTTCTTCTTGGACTCCTCCTTGTTCGTCTTCTCCAACTTCTTTGCAGCTGCTGCCTCTCTCATCTTTCTCAGCTCTTCTTCCAACTTCTCCATGTCTGATAAGCAGTTGTAAATTTTTTTTAAATTAAACACGAATCCAACCATGTTAAGCTCTCATGGCAGTTTTACAGAAAACATTTTCTTATTCAGTAGATAGAGGATCTATAATTAAACAGTGGGAGTGATTCTAGATTCTCAAGAAGGTTAATTTAATCTTCCCAAGCAAATTTTTATATGATTAAAAAACGAAATAAAAATTGAAAATTTTTTTGATGAAAAAATCATTTATTATCAAATCATACTTTTCAAAATATTAATGGAAACTTAATATTAAACATGCCTTTCTTGGCTTGCAGTTTGGCACACTTGATGCGATTGGATTCTTCATTTTTTAAACCAGCTCCAGATATCTTTCTCGGACTTCCTGCCTCGTCACTTGTCAGATCGATCACATCTCCATTCAGTTTAGAGGAATTTTTCCTTGACTCCGAGGCCTCAAAAATAGGAGGGGGTCCGGTAAAAATGACATCAAACGAAAGTGAATTCAGCCTATACTTCTTGATGGCACCTTCCTAATGACATAAACAACGTTTTGTGGTGGAACAATTCAACAAAATTTCATTAGTTTCAAGAAACTTTTTTAAACAATAAATTGTTGAAAAGTTATAGAATAAATTGTAATCATTCAAAATTGAAGATATACAATTTAACCAACAGCAAGATTAAATTAAATCTGAAAAACAATGTAAATTATTACATATATCAGCTCATTTGTATATTAATTAGTCAAGTTTTGTGAAAAAAAAATTTTGGAATCCTGCAACCTAAGCGCTTACTGAACAATAATGACAAGTTACTATGCACATTTAAGAATAATGACAAACTACTCAACATATTCTATAATGACTTCTTGTTCAACAATGATGACAACACACCCAAAAACAACAACGAAACCCTATAGCAGTGTTTATCAAACAATCAACACCAAATGTCACCAAATGTTATTAAACATTTTTACAAAAGTTTTTTTTTCTAATATGAAGTGTGATAAATAAATGATGATACATTCAACTGACCTTGACTTTCCAAAGAGAATCAGAAGAATCAATGTAGCAGTTGTCTCTGATGAATATTTTGCATTTGTCTCTATTGAATGATCCCTTCTTTCGACTGTGATGAGAATAATTTCAAAGTATTATGTGACCATGTGTTAATGTCAAATTGATAACTTTCAACCCTGAATAAACTACTTTGTATATTAATGGTTCATAGCATTATTAAGATAATTAGTGAAAAATTTCAACTTGAAGAAGATGAATAAAGTACAACAAATTAACACAAAAAAACACTAACGACAATTTGGAGCCCTTAAGAACCCTGACAGATGTAATTTGATTGCTGATTTCTTGCAATGCATATTCAAACATGTCAGCTACGTTTGGGCCAGAAGATGATGTTTCAACAGTAGATGATTTGATTGAAGATGTTAATAGGTTCTGAGATGCCGATTTGTCTGGGGATGTCGATTTATTTGGAGATGTTGACAGATTCAGCGATGAAATTGGTTTATTTGGACTAAGCACTGGTCTGATCCTGAACAAATGTGAGAAATAGAGAACAAATCAAATAAGTAACAACAAATGTAAATGTGATGCTTGATGTTTTGAGTAAAAATCAGAGAGTAACCCACCCATTAATATCAACATTCTTTTCCTTCACAATCATAGCTTTCATCACTTTGTATAATTTCTTCACATTTCTGAATTGTAAAATAATATTGATTAATTTTAAAAATATAATATTGTCAATAATAAAGATGAATGAAAATGCACAATTAAAGGACTAACCCGGTGCTAGCAAGTGCTTCAACTGTCTCTCCAACAAAATATCGGTCTTTCATAAAGGAGGAGATGTCGTCCAGGACATCATTAATCTTTCTTCTCCGAGTCAGGGTCACCAGGAAAAGGATTGGCCTCTTGAGAGGATCAGGGAACATGAGCAATTGTTCCTTGATGTGGTTCTCAGATGCTGCTGCTTCTTGGTATGTTAGTCCCGATCGACCTGTCACAGAGCATGCCCAGACCAAGCTGTTGCATAATATTATTCGCTCGAAAAACTTCCTGTTTGTTCATTATTGTGATATTCTAATTAACTAAATATAAAAAATTCATTTCATTAACCAATAAATATTTTCTTAAAATATCACAAAAAGAAAAAAATAACTGACTCATAATCTGTGAATATTTCATCAGTAATAGGGCAATGGAAGACTTCGTCGTCTGGTTTCAAACCTTGAGGAACAGAATTTTTTATGAAAGGTTCTTTCCTCAACAGTGGCATTGTGGATTAAACTTTTGGCGAGTTAGCAGCAATCTCTGTATTCAGCTAAAGAAAATCATTTAACAAATGATTAATAATAAAAAAACTAATGGATTTTCACAGATCACAGAAAATTCTGTTATTTCAATATTACATTTTACAGCCTATAGATTAAAATGCTTGCGCATGATATAGAAAAAAATAAACATATGAGCTCATCATGATGTATACTATAATATTTATGAAAACGTATACAAAATTTAAGGAAACGTATCCTAAATGCTTAACTTAAATTAACAGCATTTGTGTACAAGTCATTCATCAAATATTTATTTTATAAATGAAATAAATTTGATTAATAAAATTTATACATTCACAAAATTATCATTATTTAAAAAAACACCTAAAAATTAACGGTAAATCCAACTTGTGTTATGTTTCACTATCAATTGCCTGAAAAAATATGAAAATTTTGAATACATAATTATTTAATAATTAATTAAAATTAATAGTTATCAATAAGTAATAAGTCAATTAAACATTGTTAATCAATAATAAATAAAATTACATTATGGTCAATGAACAATCAAAATGATATTTAAGTTGGTTATTTCATTAGTAGATTAGATTAATAACTGACTATTAACACAAATTGATTTTAATTAATTTTTATAATATATTTAAATTTTATATTATGAATGAAATTAAAAACGAAATTATTAATAAACAAACATAATTATAATCTGAGTATTAGTAAAATTTCTGGTCTCAATTTGAACTTATCAAGTCAAATTAACTAAATTTTTTAAAATTTTAAGAAGAAATGAAAAAGAAATAGCAATAATTAATAATCCAATATCCGACAACATTAAATAAATAACATGTTTTTTAGTTAATTCATTTATTTATCTACTTTACTTAATAATACAATACAACCTAAAATTTCTGAACACTGATTCATTACTAAGTTAAAACAAATCCAACTGAAGATATGCTAGATTCTACTTTGAGGTCAAAAAATAAAATTGAAAAACTAAAAAATAATTACTTTTTAAAAATCTGATACATCCAATAGGAAGCGAAACAAACTTTTAAGATTAATATGCCGAACGTGAACTCAAAACGATCTTTTTAGATTTGCGCCATAAACAACTGTTGTTTATAGGATCTTTGTTGCGTAAAGCAGAGATGCTCTGAAAAGCATTTCAATAATTGGCTCTTTATATTTACAATTCCATTACTGCAATCGCAAACATTTTCAGTGCGCTTTAGAGTCTAATGTCATTCTTTAGTTCACATGAATAATTATTCTTCAAATTTATCAAAATTTACAAGTTTAACATTTTTATAATTTATTAATAAATATTTTTTAATTTTTTAAAAATTTTAGTCATTTTGATTATTTTTTAATTGATTTATTTTATGCATTTTTATTATCTTTCAGCATATATAGTATCTTTTTTCTGGTTTCATATACACGGATATAATATATCAATTATTTTAGCGCTTAATAACTAATTGATTTGTTGATTGATTGGTTGGCTGGTTGGTTGGTTGGTTAGTTGGTTGGTTGGTTGGTTGGTTGGTTGGTTGGTTGGTTGGTTGGTTGGTTGGTTGGCTTGCTGGCTGGCTGGCTGGCTGACTGACCGACCGACCGACCGACCGACCGACTGACTGATTGAATTCAGTTTCAACATTGGAGCAACAAGCAAGTTACCCTTCATCCAAAACTTTTTTGATACAAATAAAAAATACTGTCATTAGAATGCATGAGTCTTGATTACAGCGTTTCTATAGTTTCAGATTTTTAAAATGTCGTTTCAATTTAATATTACGTGAATAGTGATAGGTAGGCAATTACAAAAAAAATGTTGAAAGGAGACCGTAATCATATTTTGTTAACAAATCTCTGATTATATATCTCAAGAATTAACATGTTTCAAAAAACCGTTCAACATTTTTTGGCAACAAGCGAATTTTAGAACATGAACTCAGAGTTTTTATAATTTAGAGATTATAAGATTTATAATAACAATTTGTGTTGATTAATTTGCGTGAAATTAAAATACTGATGCGTTTTGATGTAGATTCACTTATGCTCTTCGGCGTTTTTTTCCACAGAAGCTTTGAGTTTTAAATATTTCTTGTTATAATATGTTTGGGTCATCTGCTAAATGATTATGAAAAAATTTTCTTGTTAACAGAAATTTCCTGGTATAGTCAAGTATTTCTGAACTTATAATGGTTCAACTATAATATCCATGGTTCAAACGCACACTGCCTGTTCAATTATGTGCCAATCTATATTTTTCTGAAACTTCATGACATGATCGGTAATCTTTGCGAATTTTGCTTAGAATTCATTTATATGCCTGAAAAATGTTGGAGTGTTTTTAATTTGTTATTGCGACGAAGAAAAATGGTGGGTTTGAATGTTTTGAAATATTCATTTAAATTAACATTTTAAATAGCTGTCGAACGAATTTGTTATTTTCTTTTTTCAGGGTCCTAATTTATCCCAGTTAGAAAAGGAATTAGGAGCTGGTCAGTGTGCCATAAATGAACATTTCATAGGGCTTGTCAATGTATGTGGGATCTTTTTTTCTGCCTAATTAATTCTATTCTATCTTTCATTCTTTTCTTCTCGAGCGTAAAACATTTATCATTCGTTTTAATTTTAATTAAATGTTTTTTAATTCTTAAGTAAATTTACAACTGACATCAAGATGAACATAATTATCTTTCTTTATTTTTATTATTTAATCTTAATAATGTTAATCTTTCTTTACTATGTATTTGTATGAATGTATATGTATAGGTATACACACATCTTTAGATTTTTTTACTATGCTGTTAAGTGTTTGTTAACTGTTGTTGTTTATATTTTCTTTATTTTATATGTTACATATATTAGTATAGTATAGTATACTTTGTTTTTTGTTAGTTTACTTTACTACATAACAACATGGATGTAATTTGTAATGGTGTCAAATTTTGTTGATTATATTTAAATTTAATGTTATCTTCATTTGCTAACCACTGAAAAAAACACCAATAATAATAATAGTAATAATAACTAACTTATTAACTAAGCTTTATTTTATTTATGTATTACTACTACTACACATTATAGTTGTTAATCTGTTGATGTTTAGTAGTTATTTAGCTTAAAAAGGTAAAAATACAAAATAAATTGGTTAACTTTAGTGAACAACGTTGAATTAAAGTAATTTTTTCTAAACTACTAAACTGTTTAATTTCTATTATAATATTAATTGCTAATGCTATTTATCTTGCTGATCTTATTAAATTATTCTTTGTTTCAGTTTGGCAACACTTGTTATTGTAATTCGGTTTTACAAGCTCTATATTTTTGCAAGCCATTCCGAGACATGGTCCTGGCCTACAAGCAGCAAACAAAAAATCAAAAGAGAGAAACTCTTTTGACCTGCCTAGCAGATTTATTTTATACGATCGCAATGCAAAAGAGAAAAGTTGGATCAATACCTCCAAAAAAATTCATTCAAAAGTTGAGAAAGGAGAATGGTACGTCTATCTATCTATTTGCCTGTTCTTTCATTATACATGCATTGTCTGTTTATATACTTTTGGTGACAGGAGCTTTCGATAATTATTTACAACACGATGCTCACGAGTTTCTCAATTACTTACTGAACACGATAGCTGATATTCTTCAAGGTGATTAAATGTATATTTATCAGTTTCAGTTATTCTAGCTAAAAGCTTCTGCATGGTTTATCACATTATGATTTGTTTAAAATTCAGTTGAAAAGCAAAGTCAGCAAAAAGGTTCAAAACTATCTAGCACCCTGCCTGTGCTACAGAGTGGTAGCATCAACCCATCAAATACAATGCCTAAAAGTGAACCTACGTGGATCCACGATATCTTCCAAGGCACATTCACAAGTGAAACAAGATGTCTCAATTGTGAAACTGTTAGTAATCAATATGTCAACACTTCATTTCATTGATCTTCATCAACATTATTTTGTGCTTGTGAATTGGTGATGTTCTAAAAACTTTTGAATATTCAACATTAGTGATTCAACATAGATTTTAACATTATCATCTTGTTACAAAATGTTGCTTGTATCTACAATAACGTTATTACAATCTGGGTTGTTAACACTTGTTCCTCACTTGTGGAGAAATTTACCTATATTAAATCGCTGATGATTTTTTGTGTGATTTTTAAAGGTTGAAAGTGTAATAAAATGTCGTGCTTTTTTCAGGTTCGAAGTCGAGAAGAAGATTTTTTAGACTTGTCTATAGAAGTTGAGCAGAACACTTCGATCACTCACTGCCTACTGGCATTCAGCAACACAGAGACTCTCGGTAGTGAGTGCAAGTATTTTTGTGAGGTGTGTTGCAGCAAGCAGGAAGCTCAAAAAAGGTCAGTCGATTGGTTGATTGTCTTGTTGATCAGTTGGCTGATTGCCTGGCTGGTCAGTCGGCTGATTGGTTAATTGCCTGGTTGATTGGTTGGCTGTTCGGTTATCTATCTGTTCGTTTTTGCTTTTCTTTTATATTCATGGTGAAAATATTTTCTGGTAGGTTTTGTTTAGGGTGATTTCAAATTCAATTTTTATTGTCTTTTTTTGAAAACATCATACAGTGAAAACATTGCAATTAAGAAAGCATCATCATCATTCTCAAAAGAACACACCCGCTACTTAACTCACTACAGGATGCGAGTGAAGAAGTTACCACATGTTCTCGCACTTCATCTCAAGCGATTCAAGTTGGAACACCCGAACAGATCAATTAAGTTGTCATACAGAGTGGTCTTTCCACTGGAACTTCGATTATTCAACACTGTTAGTGTAATGATGGAATAACAAACAATGGTATAACTGCACATAACGCACATGTACATTGTTATTTATATTTTTTATCTTACCAGTCTGATGACGCCAGTGATCCAGATCGAATGTACGATTTGATATCTGTGGTCATTCATTGTGGTAGTGGTCTGTCCAGAGGTCATTACATCAGCATTGTCAAGAGCCACGGACTATGGCTTCTTTTCGATGATGACATCGTAGAGGTTCTTTCACTTGTTGATGTCTGGGCGATAGAATGGAAGCATGCAATGATTACTGATGTTGTAATTTAAATATATGATAGAAATGATGATGCACACAACATGGTGACAAAGGTAATGATATTTGGTAGTCATGTTTGTTGTTATTATCCTCAATAATGTCACATTACTTATTTTGTGCTACTAATTAATTTTGTTAGAAAATAGAAGCTTCTACGATTGAAGATTTCTTTGGGCTTCCTTCCGATCTTCAAAAGACGTCGGAATCTGGTTACATACTTTTCTATCAATCTAGAGAATGAAGTCAGCATCAACCTCATCGTCGTCGTCATCATCATCATCTTTTTTTTCTTTTTTGCACTAAGAACGTTATCATTTTTTCTCACCGTTTTAGTCACTGTATTTTGTTGTAATTTTATAAAGGTTTCATTTGTTTGTTTGCACTTGTCATGAACTTTTAACTTATGAATCTTCCATTGAATTGTACATAAGCATTTTGTCGTCATCATCGTCATCGCCTCATCAGAACACAAGATGTCCTCATCTTTCATAGTTCACCGCCATCGTTGTCGCCAGCAATCGTGTTCGTTGATTCATTGAAAGGATTGATTCGTCATGAAGTGTGATCTAGAAATTTATGTCTACTAGGATTTTTTTGTTCATAACAGAGAGTATCTTCAGGCGAAATATCATTCGCACCGATTTTAATGAACACAACAAAATGATTCTCTGGTGAATTGCATTCTTCGCTATTTTTCAATCGTTTTCAACTCCCCAAAATTGCACTTCAATCCAAAAATTACAAATTTGCCGCATTCTTTCCAACATTGATTCATATTACACACATCACACACACACCGACAGTCAAACCATATACACATTAATAATTTATTTATAAATTGCATGCAGTGAACATTTATGTATTATGTGTAATTGTGGATGTCAATCATCTTAAATTATTATTTTTCTAACAAGAAAATGAATCATTGGCGATTAGCTCGCCTGCCTAATCTTTTTGTTAACATTCAAAATGAATTATGTCATCTACCGACTGACTGACTGACCGATTGCTTCATGAATTGTACATAACTGCATTGTTTTGAATTTTATTAAACACGTGAATTATGACTAACCAAGCATTGCATTTATAATACATATTATATATGTGCGTTTGTATGCAACTGAGATTATGTAAACGTAACTAATAAAATAAACTGGTATGATTTCTTTTGTGTAACTTTGTTAACACGTCTGATTTTTCGCAGTGGAAGCAGCGTTCGAAATTGTCGAGAGATGCATTTGATGGGGATGAGGTGACTGGTAATAATAAGTTAAACATTTTGATCTCAAAAATAGTGTTGTCAAAACTTTTCGCAACAGTTTTTCAGGTCTTTTTTAAAATGTTCAAAATTTGGGTTCTTAAAATTTTCACTATCCTGTTTTTATGATCCTCATCTTTTTCGTGATTTGCCAGTGAAAAATGTTAATGAGGTTTGCGATAAATGTTTTTAAAGAAAAAATAAAAATATATAAAAAAAATTATAGAATGAAAATATGTTTCGAAAAACTTTGCTTTTTGATAGCCCTGCAAAAAACTCGCTAACTCGAAGTCCGCACATTTTTAAAGGACTGGCAATTGAAATATTTTAATTTATTCTTTTATAAGAGGATTTTATGGTGAGATCGGTTATTCGATCTGGTCACCAACTTGCATCAACCGCCCAACACCACAAATGAAAGCTGGAGTTTATATCACTCGTGCAAAAACTTTTTGAATCGCGCTACCTTTTAAAAGTGTTTTCATTTATCATTCAATGGAATGTTACAATGTTGCCCTTACAATTTCTTCATGATTTCCTCAGAACGTGAGCAAGAATAAGATTGGAAAAAACTATTCCACTGACGCGTACTGCACTTTCGCGAAGACCACATAAACGGATTAGATGATAATAAATCGACCAATCGTTGACACTATAAACGCCCAAGCAATAAAAGCAAAATGTGCCCTTCACTTGCCTTTGTCATTCTCTCTTTTTTTTCTCTCTCTTTCTCTTACAACATACCTTCATTCCAAAGAGAGGTTTATACGTCTAACAATCTCTCCTCTCTCTCTCTCTCTCTCTCTCTCTCTCTCTCTCTCTCTCTCTCTCTCTCTCTCTCTCTCTCTCTCTCTCTCTCTCTCTCTCTCTCTCTCTACTATCTATCTACGTGTGTTTGTACGTGTAATGTATTTTTTTCAGAAACATTAACAACGTTAACATATATATGTGTTCGTTAGATTGTGTGTGTGTGTTGTTATATGTGCATGTTAAATACACATATAATACATTTGCTTGCTGCGTGATTGAGCTATCAAATCATTTTAAAAGATGAGTGATCATCCGCTTAATCATATGCACCATTCAATACAATTAGACGCAAATTGATATTGATATATGCCTATACCTTAATATGCGTGTGTCCTGCTATGAATAAGCAGACGTTGAACACGGGCATACGGGTGTGTGTGCTTATTTCTTTTCTGCGTTCACAATTATAATTTTTGATATTCTTATTTATAAGGAATATTTAACACATGATTCGGTCGAAACGACCATTTTTCGAAATTTTCCAAACTACGCAAGAACTTACGCCATTACTGGAAAGTCAAGAAATGTGAAAATATGAAATTGTCTGCCAAAAATAATAAAGAAAAAGTTAAATGATGTTTAATTAATTTAATTTAAAATTAATATACGACATTTATAATAGTTTTGTGCAAAAAATCATATGCAAATAGGTTCGGTTACATATTTCATTGGAATATTTCGTCTAATTTTTTTTTCAAAGTATAATAAAGTTTACGAAAAATTATTTATGTAGCTATTTGAGACAAACGCGTATGTATCTAATCTCACAAAGACGCACAAAGAACATATTTGGAGAAATGCATTGGAAATAAATAAGCGGGGACGAAGGTGGTGAATAATCTTGTTAGCAGGTCATCACTTCTGGCAATTACGTCCTGGTCCGCTGACTCATTAGGAAGGTTAGCATGGAGATCTCCTTGATAGATTGTTCACTGCTTTGCATAATGTTGATTGCTCTATGTCCTCTCTTCTTCTTCTCTTTTCTTCTCTCTCCACGCACACGTCAGATTTGGAAAGCGTTTTTGCATATTACGTTGGGTGTGGCGATGACGAAGTTTCGATAAATAACTGATCGTACATATGTTTCAAGTCGATTCGAAGGTGAGTAAGTAAGCAAATGTGCGTGTCTGATTCCCTTTATATTCTCCATTTTTGACTACTGTTCAGTTTTTACAGAAATAATTTGTGCATTTATTGAAAGTTCAAACGCGCCTCATCAATAAGAAATGCAATAGAGACATCACACTTGTCATAACTTCTCAGACCACATTCACAATCATTATTGCTGACAACCAACTGACGGGACTGGATGATTTCAGGCGGAAAAATAAATAATCTTTGATTTGATCTTGAAAATCACGACCAAGACGAAATGTTAGGCTTAGTGGAGTGATAAGCAGCATTGATGTCGTTTGCACGGTTATAAATGTATATACAGCTCTATATTCTATACCTGGTGAATGATGATGCAAATGGAACTACAAATTAAAATATTTCGTTCTAATTACAAGCAGCAAGTAGTTATTAAATTTTGAACTTCAAGTGATGTTAGAGAATATTATCAAAAAGATTACTAATTATTGTCGAAGGCACTTGCAAACAAACTACTTTTCGTAACAACAACATGTTATGTGACGTACAGCGATACGTTTGTTGATATGAAATGGTGGTGGCTACTAAATTTCCAGTTTTTCTCTAAAAATGGACGCGCGATAACCAAAATGATTTGGCCTCCGTCAAAATTTTTGGCCTTCCCTCATCAAAATTTTAACCATTTCAAAATTTTGACCCTCCCCGTTAAAGTTGTCTAGATCCGCCACTGACGGGGATGATGAGGATGATGATGAAACAATTAAAAGCTGGAAGATATCATGGTGTACTGATGTGCGATGATAATTTCCATTGAAATTATTGCAATGATACGAGCTGCAACAAATTAAAAATGACGTAAGCGATGATGACGACGAAGGAGATGATGACGATGGAAGGGATGATAATGAGCACGAGACACTTTTAGAAGTCCCAAACGGTCGAGCTATCTGCGATGAATGCCTCTCAGAGTGGACGGACACATTTAACATAAATGTTCGTTTGTCGTCGGTTTGTTTATCTGTTCTCTCGTTTGTTCGTTCATTCGACTCTTTGTTCTCCGGTTCGTTCGTCGTTGGTTAATCATTCGATTCTTTGTTCTCCGGTTCGTTCGTCGTTGCGTTGCTTTGTTTATTCTCATTTATATTTGTTTGTTCAACAAATTGAATTAAAAAAAATTAATTGATTCATTCTAGAATGTGAGTATTTTCTTAATAAGTTTTTTCAATAAATCTAATATCATATGTAAAAACAAAACTACTGAGGTGTAACGTTTGATTCAAGATGCCAAATAAATTCGAACAAGTATGTGGAAATTTTGTTTTTGTTGTGGATAGCCAAACACAACACAGTCAAGAGTACGTAGGTCATAGAGGAACACATACATACTACACAGCCAAGCATAAAATGAAACATGCACACATACAAGAAGAACACACACGCACATGCAACTACAACACAACCAAGCAAGCCCACAATGAAACAGTCAAGCGCATACAGGAATGCAAACAGACGGAGAGATGCAAGCAGACAAGGATACATAGAAGCGAACGCACCTAGCACGTCACATCATGAACGAATAGAGCCTCACTTGGTCTCAATGGGTTTATTTTTTAAGCTCTAGATTTCCAAATAACCGCTTATACTTATATTAATTGTACGCAACGATCAACTTAAAAGCCACATTCTCGAGAGGATGAGTAGATGGATGCAAGGATTGAAAGATAGCTCTGATGTTGTTGCAGATATTTTGGTTTTTCACTTTCTATGTTGACGTATGATGTGTACGTCGTTGTATATTGTGGCTGTGCGTCTGTAAGTATGTGTGTCTGTGTTTGTTGTGTGCGTCTGTTGTTTGTTGGTGTGCGCTTTCGTTCGTGCGTGTTATGCTCGTCAGTTATAAAAAGTAAAATAGGAGTTAAATTTAAAAATGATTTTATGCGAAAACAATTTCAAGAAGCCTCCGCCATTTGTTATGACTTCTGAAAATTTTGGAAACCTTACAAGGGGTGGTTTGTTCATCCGCAAGTTTTGAAACATTTAAAAAGTATTTTAAATTTAAGTACAGAGATGCATGTTATTATGAAAGGAACCCATTCTCTTTTCACCTATCAATCGCTGAATAGCAACTCAGTAAGCCAGAAATATCGGTACACATATTTATTTATTCACCTACTAAATAACACCTGTTTGTTTGTTTGTGACAATGAACCTTGTTTTGGTTAGATACACATTTGTGGTTTGGTTTAACTAAATAGTAATGTGTTTTCATCTGTATATGGTGTAAAAAGAAGAAGAAGATGAAATATAACTAACTCAATGAAATATTCTCACATCGAAACAACTCCATACAAGATTAATAACGCTCATATATGTAACGTTGTCTTTGACAATCAACACAAATTCCAAGCGATTAACATAATGTCCTCATAAGTTTCGTGTATCTCGAAGGACAAAATTAAGGGTGCAAAACTGATTTGAACAAATCAAAATCATGAAATGACATAAAATAAGAGTAGAAAAATAAATTTATTTATATATAGTCAATACATGTATTACAAACTAATATCTTTTGTATTGTTAATTAGGAGATCATAACAAAATAATAATCACGGTAAATGTGCATAATTTTCATCACTATTCCCCTTTCAGAATTATGAACTTTCTTCCGATTGAAATGACATCACTGTCGTCAATTAAGTCAAGCAAGCGTCTTAATTAGCAACCAGAGGCATTGCTTCAATGACTCTCTTCCCCCCCCCCCCTCTCTCTCTCTCTCTCTCTTTTCCCCTCTTTACTTCTGAAAATAATTGCAAATTACATACACAAATTTAATCTGCATTTTTTGTTTCTTCTTATAAGTGCGTTTTGTTAAAACGACATTTCTTTTATTTATACGTATTTAATTTTTTAACAAATTTTAAATCATTTTACTTATTAAATTTTGTTTGAACTCGACAAATGTATCAGCAATTTCATTGAACGAGTCATGTTTACCTGACAGTACGAGGAGGATGACGAACCAACCAACAACCAACCAACAACCAACATGCAACCAACCAGCAACCAACCAGCAGCCAACAAGCAACCAACAACAAACCAACAACCAACCAACAACCAACCAGCAACCTACCAGCAACCTACCAGCAACCAACAATCAACCAACAACCAGCAACCTACCAGCGACCAACAACCAACCAACAGCCAACCATTCAGCAACCAACTACCAACCAACAACCAATCAGCAACCAACCAGTAACAACCAACAACCAGTGAACGCAACAACACAAGCATTATAAGCTTGTTAATTTAATTTTTATGCTTCGTTCAACGTTTTGCCGCCATTATCATCTTTCTGTACTCTCATTTATTTTTTTTTTTTATCATCCTCCTCCTCATCATCATCCTACGTATTATTTTTATTATCAGTATCATCATTCATTTTGTATTTATCATAAATAAGTATAGTTTATTATTATTTATTATCTATTAAATACTCTATTATCATCTTTGAATCATTTTTACATCATCTTATCTTCAAAAACTTCTCACCTTCACAATACTGCTGTACCATCGCCGTTATCACCGTTTCGTCCTCATCATTTTACCATCATCCTCATTCTCATCATCGACATCATCATCGTCGTCGTCGTCGTCATCATTCCTGGATTTCTTTATCATTATCCAATTATCCATGAAATCATTTATGCAAGCGTCTTTAACGATGTGAATTTAATTTCAAGTCATCCTCATCATTCTGCATCCTCTCGTCGTCTTTAACAACAGCAGCAGCAGCATCGGAGGAGGTGGAGGAGGAGTGAAGCGAGTGGTCTCGCTGAAAATTTTTACTAAAAAAAATATCAAATAGAAATAAAAATTTATAAATTAAAAAAAGAACGGGCGAAGTGTTTCAGTATTTTTCATTCATATTTATTTCATGGCCATATTCAAACATTTCCGACGTAAATCTCTCCCATTGAAGATCACTTTAGTAATAACCAATCAGTGTTCTCCTTTTCACTATGCCCCGCCTACAACTACAAATGATTGACATTTGTGGAATAAAGGCGATAGTGGCATATGTGTGCTGAGTTCTGCTTCGCTCCTATTTAAGTTCTGCTCTGCTCTCTTGTTAACAATGTTCAACAAAGCAAGTTTTTAATCCTTTATACTTATGATTGGTTTGTAATTGTAAGCTAGATTTGTTGATATATGTAAAAAATACTGTGTGAAATTGTGATGTTATTTATAATTTTTTCAAAATGATAGTTCTATTTTTGACAAAGATTGAATTAAAATAATTCAAGAACAAACGTACAACTGAGGATTGGAATTTAAAAAACATGGAGAAGTCAGATGCTGTTGATGCCAGCGAGTCACATTGTGAGGGAATCGCCCCAGGCTGTTTTGAAGACAATCACAACATTAACATCCACAATATTGACAACAATAACAACAACAACAACACTCAGACCAGCACTAGCAATATTAACATTCTTAACATCAGCAGCATCGGCAACATCAACTGCAATGCAACTGCCAGCAACAATATAGGCTCGAGTGGTGTGGTTAAAAAAGGCTTTTCAATGAGTGACATACTTGCAGATGCAGACAAAACGAATCAACAACTTAAACAAAAACATGACATTTTAGAAGTTTTCAACAAGTTTCATAATGATAGAGACACAGACACATGCAACACCACCACAAACAACCCCACCAGCAATAGCAACAACAACACCATCAACAAAATCAACGACAATAACAACAACAACAGCAGCACAAACGATGACGATGATGACGATGATATTCAAGACGACTTCATAAATAACATCTGCACAAGAAATAACAACCAATCTCCGCTTTTAAGACCAAATGAGAAATATGATGATAGAAGCAACAAAATGATAGAGAACAACGACAACGATAGCTACTGCCATTCTGACAAACTCCGGTTAGTGCAGCTCGACTCGCTAGCACACCTTCCCCACAACTCTTTCTTATTTCCACATCTCTTCAAACGTTTGCCAAACTGCGGCGATGTTGAGCGCAAGAACAAAAATGAGTCTATGAAATCTCCCACCGGCAATGATTGGATCAGAAGGAACAGCTCAGTGCCAGGTGAGTCGGGCAAGGATAAACAGAGTGAAGATGCTATTTCAACTTCTTCCTGGCTACCCTGGTTCCAACACATCAAAACTCTACCACCCATTTGTTAGTTTTTTTCAAATAAATGTCGATAGGGATTTAATATTTTGGTCTATTTTAAATGTTTTCAAAATTTTCAATTTCAAATAAATGAAAAATAATTTGAAAAAATAAAATATTATTTTATAACTCTCATATGTTCAGCTTTTTTGTTTCTTGCAGTTAAAGTTCCTTGGGAGCTGTCCGAGAAAATTAAATTGCAGGAAAACATGAGTAATTATTCAATAGAGTCCTTCAATGCAATAACTAAAAATGTTGTTAGCAGCAACAACAACAGCAGCAACCATGAAAGCAACAACTCTGCATCAGACTGCAACAATATTGACAACAAGATTATCAACCCACTCTCTTCGCCATACAACGACAACGCACTGAAATTTTTGTTGTCTATGAAACAACAATACCGTTCAAAAAATTTATCCGACTCCTTCAAATTTGCTTCTAAAATTAATTTGAACAACATGCTGCTCAACAAAGCTTACCGATTCATTGAAGGGGACAACTTGACGATGAACAAATCAGATGGAGATTATGACCTTGGGTCGAATTTTTACGAAACTGACAGAAACAACAACAGCAGCAGCAAACGAAACTACAGCAGCAGTCATGTTGGCGATCGCTCTAACCCTCCAAACGACATCAGCAGCAACGTTCACACTTGGTCTTCCTCACCACCATCATCATCGTCTGACCCTTTTTCTCTTCTCAAAAAATACGTTAGTCATGCTGACAACCAATCAACTAAGAACATCAACAACACCAATAACAATAGCCACAACAACATTAACATCGATAATAACTACGTCAGCGTAGCAAGTTTGCAACAAAACAAAAATAAGGACGAAAAAACTCTCAAACAAACAACGACCACAACGACGACGCAAATTATTAAAAAAGAAAATTATTCAAAAAATTCAACAAGCCTGGCTGGCAAAATAACGGACAAACAACAACAACACGACAAGCTGAACAACAAGGTGGACACACCAGCCACTGCTGACGATGACGACGACTACGACGATGATCTTGCTGATGATGACGTTGACGTGTCACGTGATGACAAACATGATGAGAACGATGACGATGACGGTTCTTCATCGGCCAACAACAAACCAAGGAGAGCCAGAACAGCGTTCACCTACGAACAACTTGTTGCTCTCGAGAACAAGTTCAAACAGACGAGGTTCACTTGCTTTCATTCCCGCTTATTGTTCATCGCTTTCAATTACATTTTATTCTGATCTGTTTTCATTGCGTAGTGATTTTTTATAAATTATATAATTAGTTGTAATATTTGAGAGCATTAAAAACACGATGGTACCATCTTAATGTTTCGACAGATATCTGTCGGTCTGTGAGAGACTTAACCTGGCATTGTCCTTGAACCTCACTGAAACTCAAGTGAATAACTTTCATTAAAATTTTAATAATTTTTACAGTTGATTACACAAATTGCTCAACTCTTACAACAGCACAAACATCACAACA